GAAGAACTAGACAAATGGATAGGGTAGTTGTCCAAGTAGGTGCCTAAGACTTTAGGGCACGGCATACTTCGCGGTTGCCCACACCGACAAACGGGTTTTTCTTTGGGAACCCTAACCGGATCCTTCGACTCAAAAATCAGACCCACGAGGCAGTGGGGCGTAAGTTCAACGCGGGAGCGCGAACAAAGCACCCGTGTGGGAGCTTCTAGAAACCTGTCACGCGGTATTCCTGTGATACAACCTCTCAGTTTTTTGTGCTAATGACCAGATTTGTAGGTCTTGGCTGCGTTTAAACTTGCGATTTATGAAATTATGGTAATATCTTCCTTAATAAGGTTTGAAAAATCAAATTTTCATAAAAATAGGTAAGTCCGTTTGCTTGTTTAGTATCCTTTCAGTCTGATTAAAAACAGTCTCAATGCTGAGATGATTAATCAGATTAATTAATAAGAAACAAGAGTGCAGTTTAGTTGCTGCTCCAGGTGTAACTAAAATGCAAAATTGATCTGTCCGTACTGAGTACGATGAATGGCGGAACGATTTCGATTACGTATTGAAATTGGTTCGCTAGTCCCCAAATATCAGACATTTCCGTTTTGATCCCATTTATTTATCGTCCCGTATTCAGACAGAGAGGTTGAAACGAAGCAGTCCACAATCAGCCGAGGTCAGGATGTGTCAAATATTTGTTTCAGTTGTTGGATTTTCCGGAATATATTTGAGATCCCCTATCCCATTTGTCACTGATCTGTAGTGTTGCCTTCTGAGTATGCCCTATATCACCATAATGGGCGATGAATGAATGAATAGTTGACCCGATGAATTTCAAACTTCACTCCGGCATATTTCCGGAGTATTGTTTTAAACACAAAATGCACGCAAGGTTTTCTGAAAAATATGAAGATCACTGCTGATGTTATACAGCTAAGAAAAAAGTAATTAGTGTATGAATGACAAAATAATTTCCCTGATAATACACTACTGAATCTGCGGTTTGCAGCACTCTTTACGAAAAAATTCATTCACTAATAAAGTATTTATTAGCGATGACAACGTAAACTCAGTGTGACGATTCAGTATGTTAAGAATAGAGTCGTCTGACCCACAAAATATTATCTTTGTTTCATCGCTATTCGGAAATCTATTCCATTGTATTCGATTGCGAGTGTTGTATAACGAAATGATAGTAGTAATATCACTTGGTTGATTCATTCAATTTCATGTTCCGGAATTTCGCTTTCAGCAAATTGTATCCCTTAAAAATGTTGTCGCAGTCCTTTTTTCCACCTGATATATTACCCTGACCGTCGATTACTGGCTGCGGTTAGTTTCTAAAAATTTTATTGCACACGTTTAAATTACAATAGGGCGTAGAAGGCGTTTACGAAATTGATTAAAATATGGGCGAAGTCTATCACCATTTCAAACTGCCGCCGAATTTTCGTTACCACTGTTTGACTGCACCCCATTCTTTAAAATAAAATATCAGTCTATCTGTGCAATACGCCCAAAGGAGGTAAAATAATCATAGTTATATCACAACCTAATCGAATACGCTCAAAATTCTACCGTTTGTGTACTGTGAAAGTTATTCTTTCTAAGCAAGCGCATCGGAGACATTATTAGATATGGTAAGTCGTTGAATAGCACTGATATCACATTTATGCGCACATTCCACGAGATGACCTACCAATGTCGAACGTGTATGAAATTCAGACTACCTTTTGTAACTTGTCACTGATTGTTCTGGGTGTAGTCCGTTAATTGAATACTTTGTGTGAATTGATTTGCAAAATAATGCTTCGTCAAGAAAATGTCTGCATTGAATCATTCAAACGAACCCTCAAAGCGCCATTGGGTATCGCGTCACGGATGAAGTGTCGACGCACATATAGAAGGCTCGACTGGCATTGCCAAATTGAGACATTTTTGGCTCGTCGCGACATCCGGCTGACAGTGAAGGGTTGTGTAAATGCTGCAGCAGTTAGGTCAGTCCTGCTCTACGATCCAGAGACTTGGCCGTTACGGGAAGAAAATAAACAGACAGTTTCGGTGTTCGAACGTCACTGTCTACACTGCATTGAACGATTCTGATGGTTGAACAGGGCATGCAATGCTGTGTTTAGGTGCAGACGTTTAGGCAATCACGGTCGTCCACTGCAAGAAATGGTCGATCTCCTTAGACTTCGCTGGTGGGGACTTGTGTTGAGCTTGTCATCAACTAGGTTGCAACGGTACGTGATGTTTACCAAGACAGGTAGTGGATAGAAGAAGGTCAAGGACGGTCGAGCTAAAACTTGGCATGAGCGTATGAAAATCCTAACCTGGAGACTGGATCAAACAGTTCCTGTCAGAATTTCTGGATGGGGACCCCGAGATCATGATAACCGGTGGTTATAAACACTTAGTAATATGGCTGGATGGCGCTCGTGTATCTATTAATTATTTTTGCAACCCCAATTTACATGAATACTCAACCTTTCCTTTGAATTTGCTCACAACATTCCAATCTTCATTCCGCTCCTTTATTCAAATAGGCGGCTAAAAGTCACCAGCCGAAACCGGTGCATGACAATACATGATGAATGGTTGTGGAAACTGAAAACTGAATAGGTTTTCGCAGCTTTCGTTGACCGTTCATTCGATTGCAAGCAAGACAAACACGGAAAGCGTGAAACAAGGAGCATACTGCTAGACACTAGAAAAAAATCAAAATGATAATTTTAGAGTAGTAAATTTGGAATGATCCATTCAATTGTTTACAGGCACCAAGCACCGTTGACGATTTTGGGTGGGGGTTTTAATCCCTAGGAGATCGTGAATTTCCCACTATTTGAATGCGTTTATAAGCGATATAGAGATTGGTGAACCTTCGAATAGATTATTCTGAATTGACTCTTAATTACTTATACCATTTGCACAAATCGATGACCGTCGACCGTGAAGATCAAGGGCAAGGGTTTGAAGCCCTCGATTCAAATGTCCGCGGTTCGAGTCCTGACAGGAACATAAACAGTCTGCACTGCTCACGAGTCCCAAACGGGACAACACAGCTGCCCAGTGCTCTTTATCGGCCATCATAAATATTTTTATTGCTATTAGTTGTGATAATTTGTTTGTCAATCATCCTCATTGATACGGCTAAGCGTATTACACCAGATGCAAAGTATTAGAGGCATACGTTCGATACAGCATAAACTTGACAACCACTGACTCATACGGCCACTTTAAGAGGAACCACTAACCCACATTTATTGATGGTCATTTTAAGCTTCGACCTTGAATTTGTCTGTTTATTCGCGTTTCCTATGGTTACCAACTGTGAATCACTCAATACGGCAACATTCACTTATGCTCAGTTGTAATAACTATAAAGTTCTGAAATTTAAGGTACCAAGTAAGATGGAAGAAAGTAAAAAATACGAGAACAAGAATTAGGTTCCTGTTCGCAATTGTATTTTTGTGGTAACGCCCTAACTGGTGAAAAAACATCTCTCTAACTGACCTACTCTATTTTGCCGTTCTAGCGCTTATTTCCACGCAAAAAGCTAGTTTAAAGTAGTTTTGAAAGTGGAAATATATTACAGTTCAGAATGCACACTAGTCCTGATGTGATTAAATGAGTTCATTTAACTGCGCAAGACAGAACACAAACAAATGTTATATCCGAGAGTTGTTTGAGGTCAGTTCAGAACAGCTCAAGTTGAATGAGGTTTTCCACAGATTGTGAATTTCATGATACATTGAGTAATAAATCGTGGTTAACATGACATTTTTAGTACTGTATCTACATGGAATCGGTGCACTGAATGTCTGTACCTCAGTTTTGCGGTCACTATCACATTTGCTCGAAGGTCAAGTGTTTGACAGCCAATACCGCGACCTCACCTCTTCTCCTTTCTTGATCTCAATCGGACTAACCTTTGATTGACCGTCGCCTCATTTTTGGAAAACTGGTTCCTAATATGATAATTATTGAATATGATAACAGAAAAATAAATAATGGTGGTATCACTTTAAGTATCTAACTATATGACTTTTTCTATCTACTGTGGCGTGATAACTGTTGTTCTGATCATTCCAAATTTATCTTATTTTCGATCTAAAAATTGAATTGAATGCCTAAGCCTTTCTGTTTTAGAGCATTCAAGTGATTTCAATATTGACTAGATAATTTAGTTGTGCCACTACTGAAGAAATTGTGTGAAAATCAATGGAAGTAATCTCTTCGTATTTCTGAGCTGCACAAGTCTGAGAGCATTTCGAATCCCTGATATAATAAATAATTTACTAATGCCTCTGTTTAACGTGCTTGCAGTTATTGTGGTAATCAAGGAACCTGTTACTTCTTCTGACTTAAATAATGTTTCATCAATGGGAATTTTATTCTATTTTCCACGGCTTACTAATGTTCCAGTTCCATTTTGAACAGCCTGAAGCGTATTTCTATCATGTACTGATTTTCGTTCCTTTCTTCTTGCTACCCACTTTGTCAAACAATAAATTAATACAGAACACAATTTCAGGCGAACAATTGTTTTCAATAACTTATAATCATGCTATTACACTATATGAGTGAATAAAACCAAGGGATTGGGAGGATGAAACTAAATTAGTAAACGAACGACGGGTGAAAAGGTAGGTGCCCTGAACTCAAGTAACTTAAAGATGTGTTAACTTTAAAACTTTGGGTAATATTTGCTAATTTCCATTCTAGCTTAATGGATACTGGTAGAGAATTGTTTCATTTCAGTTCGGTTAGCCACTAGTGTATCACAGTAGTGGTGGTTTCTGGAGAAAAATGCAAATCTTCGACCACGTGAAAGTTTCATGAGGTATTGTGCAAAGCATAAAATCAAATAATGCTGGGACAAGGCCGCGTTTACCTAATCTTGTATGACAAATGATCACTCAGTCCTTTGTCTTCGATGATTAGGGTGCAATCAGAAGTGGTTCATTTTTCGTAATACTGATGGCCATTACATTTTTTCAATCATGATATGAAAGTTCTGTTTAGGTTTGTTCATCCATTTTTATTTCAAATTTTCCCTCTGTATATCAGAAAGTGTGGCACACAACACGCTCTGCAGGAACTTGCAGAAGAGTACGATGAAGCCGCCCCCGAACCTATACTTGATCCGAACCATCACAACGTCCACCTTGTCGCTGGTCTGCTCAAATACTACTTACGAGAACTGCCCGAACCGGTTATCCCCTTTCGATTCTATGACCGACTGAAGTCAACAGGATTTCGTATTGCGGATGGTCAAGACTTGACACCGTTAATCGACATCTTGGAATCGTTACCCGCACCCAACTATCATCTGCTTCAGTATTTGTGTCAATTCCTATACGAAGTAAGTATGTATGGAAGCTACCGTTTGGTGGTGAATGTAACTTTAGTACGAGGTGGAGCTAGCACACAAAATCGATAAGCTGTCCTGTCTAGACTCCATTGATCCGGCCGTGCTGCAGTGCTTCTAAGGGGAAATGAGGATACTTCTGGTGAATTTCTCTCGTTTTAGAACGCATTAGTAACGCATACACATGGGATGGGATTTATTCTCTAGACCTGTTTGTATAGTGCGCACGTCATCAATACTGCGCTGCATAGCTAGGATCGGAAGGAATGCCTAATCTATGAGGACAGGAGCTTTTGTTGCGACTCACTTGTTTTATATTGTCCTGCTCTCTGAAAATGGTTGTCCGATAAAGAAATCACCAGTTCTAATGATGGCATGTGAACAAAATCCGTGAGTACATTAGAAGGATGGAGTACAGGATATATATGCACATGTTTGAATGGCAGATAACTGAATGTTGTAAAAGTTATTACTTATGTACGTTTCTCAAGTCTAAAATTGCAATCAAACTGGTTCACACTAAAGTTCTGGGCTAATAATGAACATAATGGACACTTTCATATGATTGTGTCAAAGATGAGTTCAATTCGATGTGAATCGTGTATACAGTCGTTTGGTAGCGCAGATCAGCTGTGTTCAGTTGTCTTCAAACCCGGTCTGATTGTGTAAGAGAAAATAGGCATGGATGCGGTACACGACCGGTGTTGAAAGTCCCATAATGCGGGCAGTTAGATTCTACATTTGTTCATATTATTTATCGTGGAGTTTGTAGAACCANNNNCCAAACAAAAACCGCCAGGATTCAACATCACATAGGTCACAAGACCTGGTGTGTAGATGGAGGAAGAGGCAATATTTGCTTGACTGAGAATATACTCATATAGTACTTTATGTTTCATAGGTATGTGGAAAATGATCTTCGAGTCCACTCAGTTAGGGGGTTTGCATTTGTGACTTACCCAACTGATTGAATTTCTCACCAAAGGCACAAAATTTAAAGTAAGAATCCCATCTGCTACACTGTATAATTGTGTGTAGCACTCAGTAAAAATGCATCATTCTGTTACAGGACCATTTGCATTACAATGAAAATAGCAAATAATCCGGTTAAGCCAAATAGTTTAATTTTGTTTCACGATCAAACGCCATAAAATTACCGTGATACACACAAAGCAGGATTTACTGTCATCCATTGGGTACTTTCGAGATCCTCCATCCACCACTATTTGTCACACAAAAGCTATACACAACTCTGCAATGTCTGGTTAATCCTGGCAATAGTGCTTGACAGTTGAAATTTATGTCGTTTAGGTCAATAGATTTGAAGTTAACCCAGGTGGTATCTGGGTTCTTGGCCCCAAGGAGAGCCTCGTGTTTTGACACGAATAATAGAACTTCGCGTACGCGGTTCCATCCAAAGGTCACTGGTGAGTCGAGATCAAATAGGACACTCTCTATTCCTGACATTTATTCTACCAACAGCTCCATCAAAGAACAACCTTGTCTAACTTAACTGTATAATGAAATAATTGTTTTGTGCCGGGGGGGGAGGCAATCGACCAACAACAACCTATGTGATCCATTTGATATTCTATTCTCAGGGTATGTTCCTGACAGAATCTAAAGGTCATCATGATGGTTAGATATTGTCATGGAGCTAGTCTAAATAGATCAGTCTGTACAGCAACCGAGGTTTAGGACGTCCTCGGCCGGTATTACCCCATGTTTACGAATTCGTTTGCACTCACATTGGCGAATTATTTGACTAGTAGGTTAAACCTCCACGTTGGGCTACTTCCTGTTAAGTAGGTTTCCTGCTACATAGCCAAAACCCCTAACATTTGTACACTTTATGATGGTGCCGTTTAGGAATTTGGTCAACAATAATGAATAGAGAGGCAGGTCTATCTATTTATCTAGTCTCTGGATTTATATTCATATGTATTTATTATACAACAAGTAGTATCCAAAATACTTGCAAACGGTCCCTGCAAATACTCGCCGGATTTAGCAGTTCTGACCGCTTGTCAGGCATGCAAATACGGTAAACGTTTGTTAGTTCATTCCTATGCCTGTACTTGGGAGATTTATTTGGCGATACGAATGAGATATTTGTGTTCAGTATGTGCATACAGAAAGAGAGAGTGCGAAAAAGAGGTTCAACGAAATCTCCCTTCGCAATCCGGCCTTGTTATGCTCCCTTGTCGAGTGTATTTGTTTGTTTCGCTCATACCTCTGATACCTTTGGTTGTTTTGGCCTACTGAACTTTTATTTGTACAACTAACAATATTGTAACAATATACGGATTGTGCACATGTCTAGGTGTTAACATCAATAGTCAACGTGAACGTGGTTCACTTAAAAAATAACTAAATGTTCATTGAGTTGATCAATGAGAAAGAGGCACATTGAGATAAGTTATTGTGTAACCGATGAGTGCAGTCTTGGAGTATATTGTGGGCCAAAACTAAACACAGACCGTAGCAGCTGAATAGTCCCACAGAACGCATGACAAGAAGACAAAAATAGAAAAAATATGTACAACTAATTGTAATTAGGGATTTAATACTGTAACGAGAAAGTAATTCGAACATTCCAAACATATATCTTCATACATTTCCGCACACCGAGGCTTCGGAACCTTCCACAACCTTAACCTCATTTTCTTCCTATTGTCTACCAAACAAAATCCTGTTTTCTGTCAATGTTGCTATGGTTATAATTAATCATCTGCAAGATAATCGATCAAAAAATCTGAATCCTAAACGCTTCGTTGTCTTCCTTCGACGTGCGTCATACATTTTTACCTGATTTGAATTCTGACAATAAAATCAAATTTGAATTGCCCTTATGGAAATCTATTCTCATGAATCCAACTACTCACAGCTTCTCAAAAAGGGAACAGACAGTGTTGGGACTGTACAATGACGAAATCCAAGTAAAATTATGCCCCTAACAAAAATACTTTTTCCATGTTATTTTTGAATGTACCTTCTATGATCCAGTGGTAGAGGGACATGGATCAGTCGTTTAAATCATAAGAATTTTGGCACAACCATTTCTTGTTCAGACACAAATAACAGTAAAAGGTTATGCTCAAATCAAAGGTCAAAATGAACTGCTCACAGCACATATATACAACGGTAACTAAAATACACCTCGGTTACGCACTTCACATCTAAATCTATCGATTGAGTCAGTCAACAACACTCGTATTGACAGAATTGCACGTTTGGGCATTTGGGTGATTGACAGTTCCCAAACAGGCCAGCGGGTCACATACGCTGAGAGGAAGAAATCACATTCCAGTCCACTCCATCGGGACCGGTGGATCACGTGAGATGCATAGTATCCAGGCTAGCATGGAGAGCTTAAAAGTAAGAATATGCTAGCGATTCCCGCCGTGTGGGAACCCATGTTTGTTTTGATGAAGTTTGGAGGGCCTTGGAATTAGAAGAGCTTTAAAATAAATAAATGTGATATTGTAACACTTAAACACACACGGACTTTTGTTGGCTAACCATAAATTCAAATGGTATCCATAAGCAGGAATGATGCCAATTGTAAGATTGTTAAAAATACGAAACCTTAACTCTTTATCTTCAAGAAGTACAAATGCGTCTAATGTATAATTCAATTTTTCTTATGAATTGTGCGTGTTGATAATCATATTTGATCAGCTCCTATCCCAACAATGGTTTGATTTCAACAAATTTTCTGATATCGCCATGGCTCTGGTTGTTGTGTCTAAAACAAGTATATAGATAAGGTGAAAATTTCAATTAAAAATTTGTACAACCGAGCAAATTATAAAATATGATTTCTTTATTCTAAGGCCAGAAAAGTTTTGTAGTATCTTAACCTGACTTACCGAACTCACTTCAACGAGTGGCCGAGAGGATAGATGTTTTCCTTCGCTGATAAAGGACAAGTAAGGGAGCATTTTGGTAACTGTTTAACTTTATCGTTGTTTTTTGGAATTCCGTCAGCCGGGACATGTATCGCCCATGCCATCAAATAGATTTGCTTGGTGCGCGATGTTTGCCGAGGAGAGCAGTGGATAGAAAAATGTCAAAGGTATTCAAATAGCTGGCACGAGGGTATGCAAACCCTAACTGGGAGACTTGCTCACATAGTTCACGGTAAACGTCTTGGATGAGAAAATCAAGACCAGCGTAATCAATGGTTAGAGACACTGAGCCACTGGCAGTGCCATTCGTACATCTACTGATTACCACTACAATCCATATGTTCTCTTTGACTCTGCTCTATGCATTCCAATCGTCCTTATGCCCTTTTGTCCAAGTGGGCAGCCTAAAGAAAGCAATCAAAACTGTCGCAAGAAAGTGCATGGTTTTTGGTTGTAAAAGCTGACGGAACTATTGCTTTGGGCAATGGTTCAACAATTAAATGGGCCTATGTTGTTCATGATTTTTCTTCCAGGTGATAATTTCTGAGAGGACCTTCCTTATTCAATATTTTTGTTTTAACTTTCACCAATTTATATAGTTTCACTGTAGTCGAACACGATCAAACTCCGATGATGAGGAGAGTAACATCGGTTTTTAACATAGTGACATATTCCTTTACAAAAGAAAAAATGCTCAACCAAACACGCTCTATTCGTAGGAATTCATTATGCAACAAAAAAGGGAAGCAAAATTTTGGCATGTATATTGCGTGAAGTAACTTCCGGCATATATACTCGCAGCAATTTGAACATAGTCATGCACTGCGGCCTTTCAACATGATTTAATGTGACCTCCAAGAGCATTTGTTTCCAACATGACCGGGTCTTTCAATAAATCAGCGATGATTTCTCGCTCATCGGATTGCATTTCACATTTACCAAAATTTGAAACGGCTTCCCAAAAAATAAATATGCTTTAGTTTTTAGAAAGAGGAACAGCATTGTACTTGGAGAATTTCACCGACGTAAGGGTTTGCTCAGGAACTAGTTATCACATACACTTGGCAAACTCGTCGGCTAATCTTTACTTAACCGATATTTCCGTTTAATATTGGGCTATGGTTCTAGTGTTTTTCTTACATTGAACGGGAAAATTCATTTTTTTTTCTTTCCATCTGCTCTTGATAGAGGACATTTATTCTTTCCTTACCGAAATCTGATTGGCAAGTATTAATGACAGTACACCACATGTGGCTCACTTCGCTCACATTCACTTGTTCAGTTACCTGTCTCGCGTCCACCGCCGATCATTTGAAGTCTATTTATGTACTTTTGTAATTATTTTCGGGAGGAACTTTAAAGTTATAACGGTTTTGTACTAAACGTATAAATCATGTCAGGATGAGAACGCAGTTGGATCCGTGGCGGATTGAAATGCTGTGAAAAGAGAAAGTCGCTGTAATAAGTCGTTGCTGATACCATCCACAATAGGACTAGTGTTCACAGCTTCCTGCTGAGGACTGTTAGGAATGTGTACAAAATTCACGCTGACACACGCTTATGGTGTTTCCTTCCCAGTCCTGGAGAGATCACCATCTATCCGCAGTGTCAGTTGCATATTTACTGTACGGTCGTTTTCTGTCCGAGGTTTATGTACTTTAAACACACTAAGGTTATGAGGGGGAAAACAAAATATATCATTGGGTTTAGAATGAAATTGTACTTGACTGTTGTTCATGAAAGTACAAGCGCTTCAGTCCACTTCTGTTCTGCATAAAACAGTTTTTTGAAAAAGCCTCCTCGACAGAGTCAAACATTATTCTTATGCCACTTACACCCACACATATTTAATTAAGCAGCAGGTACGATAATACTAGGTAAAAGCTAAGCTTTCTGGTCGGTTTTACTTGCTCTACAATTTCTTAAATCGGACTCGGGATTGCAAACTTTGTCTGAACCTGGCCCAAGATGAAAAGGAGAGCTAACCTGCCGGATACATATTTCATTCCAATGAGATCTAAACATCGGTATACGGGGGTAGCTTAGTAATTAGAAGTGTTTTAATGCTTTAGTTCGCATATCATTTGCACTTTCAGTAAATTTGCAAAATATATGTCATCTGCTTTTCGCGTTATGGTTCTAGTAAACCTATTTGGGTCGTTTTGCTCTATATCTATAGCTAATGAGCACAAACGATGATTGTTATTATGAGGTACAACTGTTTTAGAGCACACGATGTAGGTGAGCAGATGTTTTCGGTGAATTCCTTTTCAAGCCTTTACAATCACATTTATATGAAACCATTTCAACAGGGTCAAACACAAAGGCGGATGAGTTTGTTTTTTCTCAATAAAGTAAATAGAAGCTCTTGACACTCATATTCTGAAACGGGTAACTCTTAGAAAACCGGGATTAGTCATAATGCAATATCCTTTACCCTACGGTCCTAAATGTGGTTATCTCACAGCAGACAGACTAATACGCTCTCCACTTGAAGAGGATATCACATTTTAATCAAAATCCCGTCGCATACCGTGCCGGCACCAATGTAAACCCCAACATTTTCAGTCAAAGGCAGAGCTGTGAAATACTTGTGCTTAGCTATTTTTTCTTCCCTCTATATTAATCGCTATCATAAATTGTTTACAATGCAGTAGATGTCAAAATAATTTAAGGTACTTCCTATAGGAAACAATAGACGGAGTACAATAGAAATGATCACGGTGCTTCCTAATCGGGTCAGCTGATTAAATTGTGAATAGAAGAGGTAATCAAACAATCAAATGATGTCTGAAAAAACCAATAGCATGCGCATCCAACCGCTTTTTCAGCGACATTATTCGCATTTTTTCATTAACGGTCGGTAACTTCAAACTGTGGTGATGAAGTTTGATGATACAAACTTGGATCACGTGAAGTTAATTTTCCCACATTCGGAATCCCGCAAAATTTCGCCGAAGTATGTAATTTCGAAGAATTTCATTACTGCTTGGTTAAATGCTTCAATATTTCTGGATCAAGGCTCCAATATGTAAATTGCTCATACCTTCCCACCAAATTGAAAACGACTATGCCTGATCGTTTAGAGACGTTGCGCAGAGTCGTTTGGGTATTGGTAGAGTTCTGTGGATCTATGTTGAAGACAAATCCAGATCACCTAATAAAAGAATCAGTCAGTATTTAAAACTGTCGTGCTGATCAAACGGTTTTCCAACGGAAGGAAATAATTTCTCTTATTCTTTCATCTTATGAATTTCGCAGATGGGTAGACAGATGTCATGACTTACCAAATGAATTAGTTAATGTTTGCGTTTCTATAATGTTAGTCTTATTTATATCTCCCTTGAGTACAGGTTGCACAACATGAAGCTTCCAACCGCATGTCGATTGAGAATCTCGCCAGTGTTTTCGCCCCAAACATACTTCGTCAAGCTGACGGAGATTTGGATGTCGAGATGGCTGTTTCATCCATCTTGAATCTGACAATTACCGAGTTCATTCGCCAACACGAACACCTATTCCGGCTTGAATTGGTGCCGCTACAACAGTTGCAGGCCACCATTCCAGTTCATCCGAGCTCCCACATATCTAGAACACGAAGTCGTCACACAATCAGCTCATCCGACCAGTTTTCACTGAAGGATGCTCCATCCACCTATCCGGACGTGCTGCAACCGACATTTAAAGTTGAAAAAGACCTGGCTTTGATTGATACAAATATGAAGGGGAAGACACTATCGCGACCTGTCGCCAGGGAAGAGAACTCTAGTTCTCTAGAATATGATGATCAATCAGATCGATGGGAACTTCAAAATGGACCCTCGGTACAGCTTAATCACGTTTCGCCGTCAATCATTCGTAAGTATCATAACTCTACAAATGATAATATAGAGAAACCGATATTTAGAACTCATCTTCTTCATCCGCTTCCAAGGCCCTAGCGAAGATCGCGGTGAACTGTCTTTGTATTCTGGATCTATTGTGTATTTTTATTATGTATGACGAATCTATGAATCCTAAATCGATAGCTAAAATTAGGGATATATTTGAACAACAATGTTTCCATGCAGTTTGTTGTGTCTCGTGAGATTTGCACTGAACGGGTAAAATATACGGTACTCTGAGGTTGAATTCGTGCACTTTCCCACCGGTTGTCACTGGGTGCCACTTTGGCTCAAGCTGAATGTTTCGAACTTCAGGATGGCAGATAAATAATCTCCCATGTGGACACAAACCATCAGGTGATCATAGAGTCACCATGAATTGTTATGCATCGATCCTCAACTCTCCGATCCTCACACATCCGTTTACACAGGCTTGCCATTGCAGATGCGATTAGCATTTTTCTTTCGCACCTGTCGTAGGTACAGATAAAAGTCGTCCAAGATCTCCATACAGGCCGGTCAAACGTCGACTTCTCGTACCCCAACAGCTCAGATCTTACTGACTAACATGTGGGGGCGTAACTCACCCTAATCCCTCCACAAACATGTACCCAATCCGAACGACAACTTTGTTCCCTTACCTTTTACGTTGTCTATCTTATTGCTTTTCTTCAAGTTTACGTAAAGAGCTTTCATGCTTATACTATTTATATCCCAGCCATATACCAGCATTTGTCTAATTTGACCTGGACTGGATTGATCATTTCAAGTTTTGCCCTTCATCGGTTCTTTTATAACTTCTGCCGGAGATTATCATTTGACATTTACAACCTTATACCTCGTAATCTCACCTCCTCCAGGAATTTTAATCTGAGCTATTCAGAAGATAACCGGTCGGAGCACATCGCGATAGAAAAACTTCATTACGGCAACATGAAAATCAATAACTTTTGAAAGGACATTGGTTGATTATAATTATTGATCTAATATCTTATTTCTTCCCTGACGTTAACCCTATCGGTTGCATAAAATGTGCTTCGTTATTGAATCAGTGATTCACACCGTGCGTGTACTCATGGGTTTGCTGTGTTACCTGTAGTTGAGAGATCTACGCTTACTCGGCATTAAAAAAGCAAGCGTCTATCTTTCACACACGTAGACGCACATCAGTAAACGAACGAACTGATTTTTCTCTTCGATTGCTCATCGCACACCAAAAAGCCATTTTTTCTCACGGCCTGAAGCACGGGACCGGTCCTTAATATTGCTCTCACCACTCTTGCTACCCGAAGTCGGTAGTTCCTCCCCGTATAGTCAGCTTCCATGGCGATCAAACTGGACCCAAAACACACAGTGGCATTCTCAATTGGGTTGCAAATCAACGAATCAGACCACATGAGAGCAATTGTCAAGCTGCCGAATACTTATGCCTGGCCCTTGTGAAACAGTGAACAACAATGTTAGCCATGCATGAAAACACGAGTTCATGACACCGGTTCCCTCTGTCAGAGCCTTGAGCATGATAAACTAGCATTAGTCTTAATAGTCTGAAAATTGCAATGCACTTCAATGTGCATAGGTACTCTTTAAAGATACTTTAGACTTGGCCGTGTAAGTTATCGGTCTAATTGCGTTCTTGAGATATTTGGCGTTGCTGCATTTATTTACTTTAGAAACTATCTGACCCTATATCATTCTATTGTTTTGTCTTCGGGGACCGTGCGTCTTCTCAACGTCTTTGTAACATTAGTTTACATGAATTTGTTAGTTCTTTCTTGACTCTGCATTTGTCATTCCAATCTTCTTTTTAACTGTTCATTCAAACAAGCAACCAAAAGACAGCAAACCACCGCACGAAGGTGCACAATTAACTCTTGTTTAAACTGGAACCGGTTGCTTGATCCGAACTGCACCCCATTACCTTTTAAAGTTGTTTTGTGAATTATATTAGCACCATCGATTTATTGTAAACTTTTATATTTGAGTTTTTTCGAGAGAATAAAGGTTACTTTGACAGCGACATGCTAGTCATAACTTTTTGACGTTCATTTTACCACTCAGCTGCGTTTGAAATGTGTTTTGAGTTAAGTTGAATTGTGATTTGTTAATATTATCAATAATACTTTTAGTATTGTATTCCAAACTGATGTTATTTTCTGTCTTATGCAACACTAACTAAAAAAGAACGTTTTTTCTATCTTCTACAGCTGTACAGAATCGCGCTATACCGCCTGCTCAGGTAACTTCACTCCATCTTTCCACCCCACGTTCGGAGCGTTCTTGTTTGAGGCGTATGACACAACCTGTGCTGAGTGACTATGATTGTGAGGATAGCTATTCCACCCCCACAACAAATACTCTATCCTCCGAAGTGATTGACTCTACTGGCGGTTCCGGATCACTGCGACTATTTACTAGAGATAAACATTTGCAATCTTCTGGTTTTATAAGTTGTTTTGATTGCCCTATAAATCGCACATTTTCTGTTGGCACGCGATCGCCGCAGTCCAGTTCAAAATTAAACGGCTCTGAACGGTCTGAAAGACGCCCCAAACTGCCTTCTCTTTGGATTCAGGGTCAAAAAGATCGCATTCACCGTACATCTTCATGTAACGGTTATTCCACCTTACCACGCCGAGATAATTTAATGCTTCATAGAGAGGCGAAACGTGACGATGTTCATCGTGACCCGGACGCTGTGGATGCCGAGGTGCCACCAAAACCACCTCCGTTCTCGGTGACATCTAATGACACTGGTATACTTACCACATCAACAGCATCCGACGCTTGCCAGACTTCACCGCTTCCTCGACCGAGTCCCCCGACAAATTATACTACAACGGTTTTATGGCATTCGCAATCCACTCATGAATTTGACGCTCCTAGTCGTTTACGTCCCGATGACCAGATTCGTTATTGGCGTGCTCTGGCGGTGAGTTCACGAGCCGATGCTGCTAGCCAGCGGGCACGGGCGCAGGCTATGGTCGGTGAACTCAATCGAGTCCGGTGTGATCTGAACATGGCTGAATTGGAGATCGGGCTGTTGCGACAGCGACTAGCTGCTGCTGAGGCTGAACTTCGACATCACTACCGGTTAGGTTTGGTTCCCACTTCCACTCAGCCTGTGTGGACGGAGAATTGGAATTCCCGATAGTTATGTCAACAGCGTCACAGTTACATACATGATGGAACCCCACACGTACACAGGAGATGTTATCGGGATCCGAATCTTTCACTTGACCGTCTTTCAATGAATTCTCCTCTTCCGCTCAAAACGGCTCATAAAATGCAGAACCCATCACTATCACGGACCGTCGTTTATGGAAAGAAACTGATGATCGCACCAGAAAGAATCAACAAAGGGAAATTTTTAATAGAAAACGTGTACAGATCAGTGTGATTTTCCCGTCTCCCTTATATATATATATATATATATATATATATATATATATATATGTATAATGTCCCATTTATTCGATGCTCAAAGCCATTTTTCGATACTCACTTTTATTGTATCCATTTTTATGGGGTCTGTAAAACCTACGAAAAATGTAATTGTCATACAGTTCTCACATTCTGCTGCGTTTCGTTTGTTCTCCTCTGCCTGATTGACGCAATCTGATAAATCATTTATCACAACTTCGCACAGCTTTTGTTATGCCAAAACTGTATCGTCCCGTCCGCTAGTTGGACTGTGGGAACTCATGTGAGGATTTGGTTCAACTTCAAATCACGGGCGCGTATGCATTCGTGTTGTATGTATAAGCATATGTGAACGCGATTGCTTCTCTACGCTTTGTTCGCTTGTTCCAATGTTATTTCGCCTCATTCGATTATTTTGCATTCTTTATCATTCTCTGATACAGCCTCCCTATTCCAAAATAGTCACATTTACTGTATACGCTATTTTTGGCTTTTCTCCATGCGAACACATACAGAGACCAGTGTGAAACGCATACGTGCCCCACGGTCACCGTCAAACGCACGTGCCTTGTGATTCTTGCATTTTTTCTCTTATTTCAGCGAAACAACTACATACATGCACCCATTTATATATGAACCCATATGCATAGAAATATATACATCTAAATATTTATGAGTAACTCGCGGTCTGCTTCTGTTTCTATGGTTGTTTCGTTGATAGGATCTCACCAGGAATTCGGTTGTTCAACTAATCCTCGCATAGGATTATTGAGATCTATCAGAAATCGCTGACTTTTGGAGATATGCTTGTGAAACGAATAAGCCGCCTGCCCCTGACACTCTCGGCGAGCGATGTTTGCCGAGGCAGGTAACGGTTGGAGAAAGATCAAGGGCGGCATGAAGGTATAAAAATCCTGACCAGGAGACTGGGTCGAATAGGTCCCGTTAGGCTCCCTGGCTGGAGACCCCGAGATCGTGGTCACTGATAGTTAAAGAAGCTGAGTGATATGGCTGGGTATCGCAAACAGTGGCTCTCATTCATTTACCCATTATTCTTGTAACTTCCGTCCATATAAATTCACTATCATCCGCTTGAATCTGCTGTCAACATCCTAATCTTCATTCTGCTGTTTCATCCAAGTGGGCAACCAAAACCGGCGCAAGGAATTGCAGGATAATGGTTGTAGGAACTGAGCTGAACTGAACTCCTGACGCTCTACGCGTTCCCTGGTATTAAAATGACCAAGAAGCGTATTGTATTGAAACACTGTGTACAACTTTAGTAAGTAGGGACCGTATTGAAAAAGATATTCACGATGCTTGGGACCTAATGCTTCACATCTGTAAGTGAAAATTAAATGCTTGTGCTATTAACTACTAAGGCCATATTGTCCTCTGTTGAAGAATTGTTCAAAAACCATCTTGAACAAGTTTTTGACTAATCCACCTCTGCACGATGTGAAGAAAATGGTGGGTATGAGGAACCACTAGTGCGACAGGAAGTGATTTTAGACTACAAAAGGAGGTGGGAAATGTAAATCAAGATACTGTGTAATCATCTCCAGATCATCACAAATTCTTGACGTTCAGCTCTAAACAAAGCCATCAGTCTTTGTTGTTTTATAACAACCATCCGTCATTATGGCCATGGCATCGTCACAATGTCAATCCAATAGACAACGTTTTTGAGAACTGTGACGAAACGTAAACATGACAGGCATAAGCCTATTTATCTAAATGAAAAAAGGGAGAAGGTCGTTGAGAAAAAATGAAGTCTTGAGGGCAATAATCTGCCAAAACGTTATCTGTTACTATTTACAAATAATGAACACCGAACTTCCTTAAAAACGGTTATTTTTACTCACGGTTCGGAATAGCCTTAAGAGCACTTTCCTTTGGATCTTCATACGCATTATTCATAGGTCCACACAAGCCAAACTAAATTCTATGGCGAATCTGATGAATAAGTTTACCGCGTGAGAAGTTTTCAGAACTTTCACATTTAGTGGTAAAACGATGATGGAGCTGAACGAAAACAGGTGAAAGGAATGGGTGGCTTTAACCGCGTTTTGCTTACCATACCGTAGATGACCTCNAGCATACATAGGAACAAATCACGCCGATTCATTCAGGATGACTGCCATAAAACCGTTTGAATGGTTGGTTTGTCTAGAAATCGGAACAGGCGTGTATCAGGAATCTCAATACCAATCAAACCACGGAATGTCAATACCAGAATCTGCCGAAACGGAGGGGTAAGAAAGGGTTCCAGAAATAGTGGCTCGTGCATTGAAAGAAATCCTTAAGGATTAAGTAATGCTTACAGAGAAACGCTGTTGGATAAACAGATATAATTCACTCGCCGCTAGTGTTCTCTTCCTCGCAGACCTGCTGTTTAAACCGCATGGTCTTTTATTGATTCAGACTATTGGCCTCTGATTTGCTGTTCTTAAACTGTAACGGGAATCTAATTAGCCGGTGTTATCTCAGAGACTTGGACCATTACAACTCTCCTCCATCAAGAGAGCCTTGTTTGTTTGATTTGCTCTCTTGCTTGGGTTTCCCAGTGCCAGCGAAGCGTTTCCTTAAACGATATTTGGGCTGCTAGTTAGCCACGTCGGTAATTGCTGACTTTGGGTCACTTTCTAAGACTCGTCTGTGAAATTCGCAACCGGATCGGCCTGCTCTCCGAAATGGATCTGATCGATGTAGCGCCGATGAACCCTTTTATCTTTCATCAAATCAACTCATTGTAACTTACTTATTATAACAAATTTTAAGATTTGAACATTTTGGTGAGGCTCTCTTTGGTGATGCTGTGCGCCGAATTCCTGTACTTCTGTAGGAAATTTCCCGGCACAGTTTTCTGGCCTGCATGTTCAATTTAACTTTCCATCGTCTTCACCACATTATCCACCGCGCTGTTGAAGATTGGCTTACCTGGGGCTGCCAGCAAACGTTGACAATCCGTGACTTCTAATCTGCTTTGTTGAATTTGCATCCCGCGCACATAATTGGAACACTTCATGATCAGTCACCGCCGTTGGATGAGTCCACAGTGACGCGGATTGGCCAAACTCTCCAATGGAATCTAGCCTTTGGATGAACGGAATGTTTTTAGTGGCTAGGAAACGGATCGAAATACACTAGTTTCCCAAGGATTTTGCCATTAACAACACCTCATAAACCAATGGAATTTTCTGCTCCGTACTACCATGAATTTACGCGGTGGTTGGACGACTGATGGGTCCGGGACCAGTGGTACTTCATTAGAAGTGACAGACACGCTGCTTCCTGTATCTTTAATCAACTTAGGTTACGACTCAGATTTTAGCACCACAGCTTTGTATTTGAGCTGCTCAAACTCATTCTGGATCCATGTGATAAACTAAGGACAGTGTTTTGCTGACGTTGTGGGTGGATGGCTTGAGTTTTCTGGGCGGCTTGGATCACCACAGAAAGTGAATTTCTTACATGTAAAGAGCAAATGAAGCGTGAACTGTACTGTTACGAGGCTCTGTACACATGTTTCGAAGTAACGGGAGTCTCAGTAAATCCATCGATTCAACTGAGGATCGATCTCGGGACTCCACAAGCTATTACTTAGGGGAGTAACGTATGGGCCACGCTGTAATTTTACGAAGATTGACATAAGTGGATAAACGGAAAGAAAAATGGTCTGATCGGCTACCTGGTAGTCAAGAGGGTAGTCCATCCGTGTTCTACCTGTGAGGTCCCGAGTTCGAACCTCAGTTTTGTCGAGGAATCCACACTGCGGGTGATATCCAATCAGGTGAAAACAGCTGTCCAGTGCTTTGTCACTTCGCAGTTCAGTCTTGATTTGCTCTGCAATTTACTGAATTCGCTGTAAATTTAACACGAGTCAGATAGAGTTTTATATCATACACTCTACCTGTGCGCGAGCGTAAACCATGAGATCTGTCTGAGTGGAAAGTGAATAACTTACGATTTCGCAATGTGTATCCAATATCTTCTCGCTGCATCTAGACACTTCCTTACTGTTGTTATGGTGAAATATTTCACGGGCAGTTAAATAAGTAAAACGCAGGCATGGTTGAAAAAAACGAAAAGAAAAGAGGTGACAGTGATAAGTGAATTACCAGGATTAGGCTAAAATGAACAGCAATTTACGCATTTTCCCCAGAATAAACTTTTCATTGTGAGGGAAAATGGAAGTGTCCATGAAAGTCGGCTGTATGTTTGTTTCGGAATTCAAACAATCACATGTCTACCTGTTACTTTAAATTCCTCAGATCAAAGTTTGTCGGATTTGCAATCAAAACGTGAAATCTGGAAAGTCAAAGCATAATACTGCCTATTATTTGGGGCATTCAGGGCGGTCTTAAAGGGAACCGATCAATCGTACTGGTGTATCCCAGCGACACTGAGGGAGTTGGGTGACCACGAAAAGGTGATAGTAGTCTTTCAGACGCTAAATTTTATTTATTTGTTTAAGGTGAGTTTCACCTGTCTTGACCAGTAATCTGTTGCTAGGGGATTCAAAGACACTTTGATTGAGGAATGGAATAGTATGCCAGTAGATACTATCAGATGGTGGAAAGCAGACATGGTCCGACTGGCAAATGCTGTCGTGGCATCAAACCTAGGAGGAGCGATACTTTGCTGGACAGTGTCTAGTCCTTAACATTCACAAAGATTCATTGTCCATTTCACTATTGTTCTATGGACCATAAGCTAATGTGGGTGTAT